TTCTAAGATACAAAAGTTCAGAACTGATAAGCTGATAGAGCAGTGACTAGCTTATGTACAGTCACAAACTCAAAATGTGGATTTATTTTGGTTGTCATCTAAGTATAAACCTAAAAGGCTTCTCATCAGGCCAAAGGTATCTCTGTCCAATATATACCTGGCCCTCTCTGAACAGAAGAATAATGTACAAAACTGTAGGTTTTGTTGAGACTTAAAGGTATGAGTCTATTACACATACCTAATATCTGCTTTTTCTGCAATGTGGATTTCAATACAGATTGGTAATGCTAATATATCTAAAACTTTTATGTCCCTTTATATAATAAAGTTCACATAGGCTTCAGAGGATCAAAAAATCAAAAAGCTTGGATCCAGCCGGGCGTTGGTGGCACACGCCTTTAATCCCAGCACTCGGGAGGCAGAGGCAGGCAGATCTCTGTGAGTTCGAGGCCAGCCTGCCTGGTCTACAGATCGAGTTCCAGGACAGCCTCCAAAGCCACAGAGAAACCCTGTCTCGAAAAACCAAAAAAAAAAAGCTTGGATCCATTCCTCACAGGTCAAAAGGACTCCAGACAAGTTTTCTACCTGTCTGTTCCTGAGGATTTTTTCTCCTGGTCTTGGGACACCTGCCCATCCTGATCACTAAAACTATGGGTCTAAGAGTTTTGATTGAGCACATAAATTTTAACTTCTGTTCTTAGTTTAAACATGTCTCAACAGGTTTATACTTCTTGCAGACCTATCCAAGCATCAGTTGCTGACCACAGCCTGCTCCAAAAGACTGTGAGCCCTGGACTTGCTGCTGATGTGGGCCAGTCCAGCTGATGTGAAAACTCCCTGTATCTTCAACAGAGTCTTACAGCCAGCTGTTTCTGATAAAGAGCCCCTTGCCTAAATCCAAAGAACGGGTTGCTTATAAGAAAAGGGGGGGGTGTAAGAGCAAGGTAAATAGGAGAGGTTGGAGTTACTCCATCCTTAGAAAAAGACACTGTGGTTCACCACTCTGCTCTCCACCCTGATGGGCCTCTTGCTTATTCTACTCCTTTTGCTCATCTTTAGACCTTGCATTCTTAATTACTTACTTTTGTAAAACAAAGAGTGAGTACAGTTCAACTTTTGATGTTTAGACAGCAGTATAATGCTTTAGTTAAAACTGAGTGTTAAAGAGGAATTACAGAATTGAAATTTGTAACTAGAAGAAGGGGGAATGAAGAACCCCGGGTCCAACAGTTGGAAAATTACTAAGCTGTCCTGTCCTCGGACATGATCAGCTACACAAAAACATCTTCCACTAGTGGTCCTCAAGGACTTGAAAATATTTCCCAGGCCTCAGTCCTCAAGGTCTTGGGAACACTCCCCAAACCTCAAGGTTCCAGGCCAGTCACAAAGTTCAGCCAGGGCACACACTTTGCCTAAGACAGATAAAGAGCCAGTCAGCCACAAGCGTGTGTGTTCACATGAAGGTCTGGCACTGATTACCAAACACCCCTTGTGCCTCCACCACCCTATTTGCAGTTTTAGGCTTTAAAAACTTGATGTAATTTCTGCTCAGGGTTCAATCCTTCACAAAGCTGCTGAACACCAGTGTGCCTGCTTAATAAAAATCCTCTAGCATTTTGCAACGGACTTCTGCTCTCTGGTGGTCTTTGGGGTGAGGGTCCTGAGAGAAAGACTAAAGGAACTTTCACGTCCTTCTTGTCTGGCTGGCTTCTTCCCTTTTTTGGTGTTTTGAGATGTAACTTTGGTTCTCCTGGAACTCACTTTGTAGATGAGGCTGAACTTGAACACAGAGATTTGCCTGCCTCTGCCACTCCAGGAGTAAGATTAAAGTCTGGGATTAAAGGTATGTACCAACTTTCTCAGCATCATTTGATTTCTAATTGAATGATTTTTCCAGAGTTTTCTCTCAAGGAGTGTTGATGTAACAATTGGTCCTTCCTTCCCTCTGTTCCTGCCTTCCTTTCATTGCTAGAGGCCATGGTGCTTTTCCCACTGGGATAGAAGCTACTCATAGGCAAGGGTGACATGAAACTCCTGATACTGTATCCCTCTCTCACTGACTGCAGAGGTGGCAGTCCTGTACACGTGCCCAGCAGAAGTCACAGAGACCAGTCTAAGCCCAGTGATTCCCTGCTGTTGGGAAAGGAAATTTAAAAAATTTAACACAAATTAATAAAAGACACAGAGACAGATGTTGGGTTCAAGCTGCAAACTTAAGATCAGAGAAGAATAATAGCCAAGCCACTAGCTCTTTTTCTACCTCAGGCTGAAGGCTGATCCTGTCTCCAGGATGTCTCCTCCACACCTCAGACTGCTGTGTCTCATCAAAGTGCCTTGAGACTAGATCTATACCTGAGACTCTTTGCTTTTGGTGTCTACTTAGTGCTGTGATTAAAGGAGCTTGATCCCGAGTACTGAGTTCACCTTTGCATGAGCTGTTTCTCTTTCAGATTGATTCAAGCTTGTGCAGCCATGGGTGGACTCTGACTCACAGAGATCCGTTGTCACCTGAGTCCATGGATTAAAGGTGTGTGCCAACTCTTCCCAGATTCTACAGTTAAAAAATATAGCTGGCTTTGAATTTTGATTCCTCAGGCAATCTTTATTAAATCATTTATAATATATCGGCAAATGAAAGTTTTTTCAATTAATTATAGGTGTAGGGGCATTTGCTATGTTGCCCATGTGGAGTTCAGAGGAAGCCTTCAGAAGTGTGTTTTCCTGGGTTCCAGGTATCAAACTTAACACTTCATAGGAGCAAGTCCTTACCCATTGAGCCTTCTTGGGATTGCAGTGTAAGGGATTTGTTCTAAAAGACCATTTCAGAAAAAATAAAGAAAGACCATTTGGTTTCTACTGTTTTCTTCAAGAAAAGCACCACTGTTTTCTGTTTGGAATCGATGTAGTTGTTTGACAGTTTCTCACTCTGTGGACCTGAAACTCACAGAAATCCTCCTGCCTCAGCTTCTGTAATGCTAAAACAAAGAGGAGTATGCATTCTGTGTAGGATGACACAGAGGTATTCATAAAATTAGTATTTGTTTGATTTCCATCCCATCATGTTTTGCTGTTGATTTTGACTTTGAGATAGTGTCCATCTTACTCACTTTTTTTTTTTGGTTTTTTTTCGAGACAGGTTCCTCTGTATTGTTTTGGAGGCTGTTTTAGAACTCACTCTGTAGACCATGCTGGCCTTGGACTCACTGAGATCTGCCTGCTGCTGCCTCCCAAGTGCTGGGATTAAAGGCGTGTGCCACCAACACCTGGCTCCCATCTTACTCTTGATGATTCTAAAGTACTTGCTAGGGAGGACTCCAGGTTCCTGACACCCATCTTATTTCTTTCGAATCTGCAACGTATTCATGGGGTGTGTTTTTGTTTTGTGTTTGGTTTTTATTTTGTGGTTTTGTAACAATAGCTAATTTTGTAGACTTTGGCTACACTAAAACTCACTACTTACTCAAATACCCACACACAATGAAATACATAGACACTAAAATCACAAACATAATATATATATATACACATATGTATATGTATATATATGTATATAAGTATATATATGTATACACACATGTGTGCATGAAAAGTCACATAAAATAAGTCAATCTACACATAGATGGAATATTGAATTTTGAATTTGTTGTTATTGTTTTCACAGGATTGCTCAGATTCACTAAATCTGTGGTGGAATAAAATAAATCAAACATTAACAGGATTAAGTGGGTGGAGATATAGGATTTTTGTAGAGGGGTGGGGCTTCCATGGGAGGAGCAGTAGGAAGGTTAGAGGGGGTCTGGAAGAATCTCAGAGTTCTGGAGTCACTGATTGACTGTGCTGAGGAGTCCTGAGCCTGGAGTTTCTGCTTAGCCTTGCTGGCAATAGGAGCTCTAAACCCGTGTCCATATCAGGTAAGTCACTGACGCTCCACTGGAAGTCTTAGTACATACTGGTCTAGATTTTTCACCAACTAAGCTACATTTCCAGATGATGGCTTTTAAATTCAAAGGACACATTTCAATATTTTTACATCTGGTGTAGTTTTGTTTTAATGAGAAATAAGCATTCATAAGAATTTGCATATTTGTTTCTTTGGTTCATTTTAGCTTTTGGAAACAGTGCCAAAATAGGAAAGGCTAATCTTCAACTCTAGAGCCATTGACATTGTCCAGCATTCTGAACTCATTATGCAATTGGAGTTAGTATCATTTTATAATTTAATACCCATTTAAACTGTAAGCCAATCTTTCAAATATTTGTACATTTTCTTTACTAATCCCCTTTCTTCCTCTAGACCCCAATGCATCACAGGAAAATCATTTTTCTTGTACCTCTATACACTTGCCTTCTCATCTAAGATTCTGAATTTAGAAGTAGCATGAACTAACAGGCATTTCAGGAATTCTCCCCACCCCTTCCTAAGGGGCATTAGTTTGGTGAAAGTACAATAAGGGTGGGTTGGGTGTGTGATATCAGCAATGCATTGTCTTAAGCAATTGGAAAGATGTTCAGTGTCTTTTCCTGTAACAAGGGTGTGGTCAGTCTGTAAGCTCAAGAATACTTCCAAATAGATCATGGGTAGGTACCTGGTGGGATAATGATTGATTTGTATCTGTGTGGGGGCTTTAAGGGACTCCACAAAGCCAGATGTTTGTGGCACATGCTTTTAATCCCAGCATTCTGCTGGCAGAGGCAGGTGCATCTCTGTGAGTTTGAGGCCAGCCTGGTCTATAGAGCAAGTTCCAGGACAGACTCCAAAACAATAAATAGAAACCCTGTCTGAAAAAACCAAAAAAAAAAAAACACTCCATATGCTAAGAGTGATGGAAGTTTGTCTTTTACAACACCAGGTTGTAGACAATGTGGTACGCTGAGTTCTCCATTATTGCCAGACCTATGTCTCTGACCCTCTGGTTCCTTCAAAGTATGAGAAGTGGTAATTCCCAAATAATGTCTCCCTAATGCTTCACCAGGTTCCTTCAGCCTGAAGATCTATCAGAATGAGCACCTACAACCCACCCACACTCCAACAGCTGGCAGTGCAAAGCCTTCTGCAGAATGAGGCCTTAACCATGTCTACTCTGGAGTACCTGCCTATTAATCTCTTCCCACCAGTGTTCAAGGAGGCCATCAATGGTGGACACATGGAGCTACTGAAGGCAATGGTGGTTGCCTGGCCATTTTCCTATCTTCCTGTGGGGGCCCTGATGAAGATAGTAGATTTTGAGGTGTTCCAAGCTGTTCTGGATGGTGTAGATATTCTGCAGACACAGAAGGTTCGTCCCAGGTAAGCAAGACCCAAGTAGACAAAAGGGGAGTTTTTTACCTGAAGTATAGGTAAGATACATGTAAGGACAGGGAGAATGTGGTCATAGCAGACAGAGGCTTCTGGTGCCAATCACTTGTAGGTCTGTCGAGCTTCTATTCATGTTGTAAGTTCAAGCAATGACAGGAGTGGAGGAGAGCTCAGAGTCGATGATCCCACACTAGAATGAGCTATCCCTGGCTCTCCTACGGACAATTTAAATTTTGGGGGTATTTTTGCTATTTGGAGAGGCATTGTCTTTTGCATTTTTGGTTTTTTTTGTTTGTTTGTTTTTGAGACAGTATTTTTCTGTGGCTTTGGAGGCTGTCCTGGAACTAGCTCTTGCAGACCAGGCTGGTCTCAAACTCACAGAGACTTGTCTGCCTCTTTCTCCCTAGTGCTAGGTTTAAAGGCATGAAATACCAGTTCACACCTTTCCTACACTTTATGTTGAAGAGACACAAGTCTAGAGTAATTGAATGGAGGGAACCAGGAAAGGTCTCCAGATGACTTTTAGGCTAAAGGTCCTTGCCTGGAAGGAGAGGTGTATGTTGGGGTCGACAATAGAGAAGCTGGACAAAGACTGTCTCACAGGGGGTTCCTGGTTTACATTATGAAATTGTGCCTTTTTCCTCACAGATGTTGGAGGCTTCAAGTACTTGACTTGAGGAATATGAACCAGGATTTCTGGGATATATGGGCTGGCAGAGACTGGCACTGCTCAACAGAGACTGAAAATAATACACAAGTATGCAATGAGCTGAGGAAGGATTTGAAGGTGCTCATGGACCTTAGCCTCAGGTTCTACCTGAAAAAACCCCATAGACACTTGTTGCAGTGGGCCCAGCAGAGGAAAGACTGTGTGCAATTGTACTGTATAAAGATGAAGATTTGTGACTCTACTATGGAGATTATCAAGCAGTTCTTGGACAATTTCCCGCCAGACAATATCGAGGAATTGGAGATATACACAAACCAGATTCTGCCCCTCATGGATTACTTCACACCTCACTTTGGCCGTATGACAAGACTTCGCAAATGCCGTCTAACTCACATCGTCTTCAACAGAAACACGGATGTAAATACCTTGGCAGACCCAAAGGAGATGTGTGCTGTCCAGTTTCTCTCTCAGTTCTGTAAATTCAACTATCTCAAGCATCTTTCCATAGATGGCGTCCGATTTTCCCCTCACCACATGCAGCTGTTGTTTGGGTAAGGAATGAGAGAGAGCTGTTTCTACTGTAACAGGAAAACTTTTCCCTTTACTTCAAGTATTATTGGGCCCTTGGGGTGTCACTGCCACTGATACAAATGTGGACTTGTATCCTACTTAACTGAGGTTAATTGGTTCAATGATCATTCATTTAGCAGTCAGACCTGGGCTAGGAGATGTTTAGAGAACTGAAATGAAGGCAGGTAATTGGGTGTGCCAGATATACTGAGTGTGCTCTGGACTTTCCTTCTTGAGATTCTGGTTATGGTAATGGGAAGGGAACAGGGCAGAGTAGTAAGTCCTGAGCTGGGGAGTACCAAACCTGCATAGGAATCTAAGGAACTCTGTACTTCGATCTGTGAATAGGGGCCTTGTTCTTCTGGTGGAGCCTGTCTCAGCCTCTAAGTCCCCTGGAGAGAAGGATAATGTTTGCACACGTTGGGACTTAGTAGATTGAAAATGATTGATAATGGAGTGAGGGACTCTCAGTTTCAAGTGTTGAGCACTGAAATCAGGAATAGAGGCTGTGACTGGTGGTCAAGACCACAGGAGGAGCTATGCAGGACACATGCCAAGATGCTGCCAGAATCTTTCTGTGATGGTCCTCTGGGTATGAGCTCCTGGCCTGCTGTGGCAAACTCTAAATCTGCTTGACAGAATGAGGATGGGGTGATGGAGATGTGTGCTCTGAGACCATCCCAGCTTAAGGAAATACCTCCTGTGTTAATTATATGAGCAGGCACCAGCAGGTTGTATCCTAAGTGCAGACCTTCAGCATTAGGCTAGACTGACTTTGCATATGCCTTTCCTTCTGTCTCAGTGTCAAATTTTTTAGTGCCCACTAACACAATGAACTGATTTCCTATTCTTTCCCTAGATGCCTGAAGACCCCGTTGGAGTCCTTGAACATCAGTCACTGCCATCTCTCCCAGTCAGACTTGAAACACTTGTCTCAGTGTCAGAGGCTCTGTCAACTGAATCACCTGAACCTCACTGATATAGTGTTGCCCAGGTTGAATGTCACACATCTCCAAGTTCTCCTTGAGAATACAGCACAGACTTTGCAGATCCTGGAGTTAGTGAACTGCAGGATGGATGACCATGAGCTCAGTGCCCTCTTGCCTGCCCTGTGCCTGTGCTCACAGCTCACCACTGTGAATTTCTATGACAACGACTTCTCCACTGCTGTACTGAAGAAGCTTGTGCAAAGCATGGCCAATCTAAGCAAAATGACTGCAGAGTTCTACCCGGCCCCTCTAGAGTGCTATGACCCCCTGGGTTCTGTCCTTGTGGAGGAATTTGCCCAAGTATGTTCTGAGTTCCTGGATATGCTTTCTGTCAAAGGGCAGCCCAAGACTATAGCTTTTGCTACAGACATCTGCCCTGAATGCTATATGCGCTGTGTTTATGACATGGAGGCCAAACTTTGTCAGTGTTGGCAACAAATAGGAAAAGATTGTTTCTGGATACTGAGAAATGAAAGTCTAGGGTTTGGATTTGCATCATGGAGTCCCAGAACACATGACTTCATACATTGTGTGATATATTGGAAACAAAATATTGTTCAGGTGATGCACTCCAAAGAGACTAGCTTGACTTGAAGTATAATGGGAGCACAGTTGTCTTGTCCAGTTAGAAAGGCAATTTTACATTTCTAACTCTGCCTCTGTCAAAACAGGATCACCACTGGTTTGCCTATATGTGACAGTTTTAAATATATGGTCAGACTAGTAACTTGGATGTTCTTCCCTCGAGTTCTCAGTCATTGATCTCCGCTTTAGGTCACAGTCAATGTGTCTTGTGACTGCATGAGTACAATCAGGGACATTATGGAACAATGCTTTCCAGTGTCAAAATGAACTGAAGTCACTATTGCATTGTCTTCCCGTCTTAATGTGTATGGCTGCTCAGTGGATAGTGTATACAGACTTTTCATAGTAACCGCAGCAGTGTAGCCCTGATCGCCTTTGAAGGTAGTTTTGGAGAAACAGGAGTTTACATCCCAGGATACTCAGAAAGGTGGTGATACACACAGCTGAAGATGACTGAAGACAAAGTTCTTACATAGAGACCTGACTGACCTGAGAACTGGTTGTTAACTGCTTGGTAGTAAGCTTTGTCTTCATTAGTAAGAGGGTAACCAAGTCTGTTATTTGTTTGTATCAAGTAGCAATAAGATACTATTTGTTATACTCTATTTCCATTGGTCTTTATTAATAAACCAAATCTTCCTGTTCTATCATGTCATTGTGATGCCTGCTAACTGCATATACTGTACTAACTGTGAATGACGCTTGATTATCACAATTGGACAAAGTTTTTTTCCAGGCAGTTTTGTCTGTGTCTTTGGAGGATGTCCTGCAGCCAAAGAGCATTATTTTTTATGTGTAAGCAGATAATATATACTTTATGTATTTCATAGGGTTTTTTTTAGGTTTTCTTATATTTGTCATGAGGACACTTTGCCATCCACAGACAAACCTGTGTAGTCAAGCCCTTAACAGGAGGGAAGACATCCATGGCCCTGCCAATGACATCTCCTAAGGTGGGTGGAAGCCAACCTCAGGCCAGACAGTGTCCTCAGAGCCTGAGCTGGAGGAAAGGTGTTGATGTCAGAGGCAGATGGGAGAGCTCTTTCCATTATCAGTCATGTGACACATAGGGCAGGAAAGAGAGTTCCCTATCTGCTCCCATAAAGGCCTGAGGAGCTGAGATAATATTAGTGGGACAGCTGTCTCTGCCTCTCTCTACCTGCAGCATGGGGGAGATTGGTCCCTATACCATGCCTGGGGAACACAGTAGAACTGACCCTGAAGCTCTGGGTGTGGGGGAAGTGCCCCTTAGGATGTGAAAGCCAGAGAAGAGTCCCTGCCACTTGCTCTTCTCTGCAAGAGGTGAACTAGCTAGAACAATGCAGGAGAGCTCACCCTGGTGATAAACACAGGTGAGAGCTGGCAGGCTAACAAACTCTCCCACTGCCCAGGCCAAGAACCAGGGTTATGTGCTGGCCCATCCTAAATCCACACCATCTATGATCTCCTGAGCACAGCTGGGTTAGCATAGTCCTGCAGCACCTCCACAAGCAAATGGAAATTCACGAAGTGTTCCATTGAGGACACATCATCCACAGTGTAGTTGATACCATGGGCATACACCCAAACCAATGATTCTTTCAGGAATGCCTTCATGTAAATATGCATGGATATAGGGGTTTACTGTGAGTCTCAGTGTGGCACACTGCAGCTTCCATGACAAAATTTTCCCTTACTCCCAGTTTTTCTTTTCCTTTTTATCTTACATTTTATTTTGTTTCATTTTGGATGGTTGCAGGGGTAGAGGACAGATTCCAGGGGGTGTGAGATGAGTGGGATCTACATGTATCAAGACAAAAATATGAATTAAAAAACAAATTTGCTTAGTGGTGGTATCACAAGGCAGAGGCAGGTAGATATCTGTGAGTTTGAGGCTAGCCTGGTCTACAGAGAGAGTCCCAGGACAGTCAAGGCTACACAGAGAAAACCTGTTTTGAAAATTAAAAATAAAATAAATTTTTAAAAGACTAAGGAAATTATAGGGTTCAGTGTGCTTTCCTTCTAGAGTCACTGGAGGTATCAGAACATCAACAACATGACTATAGATTCTATTCCTATGCTACATCAAGAATTGTAGTTAAGTGTGTGGTCATGGGGCTACAAGACTTCTCAATGGTACAGTTGAAGGGCTGAGGATTTAAATGAAGACAAAGACAACGCCTCATTCTTGCAAGGAGAATGGTATTTAGTGTAACAAGAGGGGAGCAGTAAATACCATTAGCAGGCAAGTTGGAAAACTACCAAGGTCAGGAGCTCAAATTCCCAAGGTTCTCTGACAAAGGATGGGCAAATAACAGTAATTAGCATTTATGCTTACCTGGAAAGAGGGGACAAGTGTTGTTTTGCTAGAAGATCCTGTTCACAAGCTGGTCAGCAGACCCTCAGGGGGAAAGGGAGCAACAAAGAATAGAAAGATCACAGAAAGCATGTTGACAGTGTTCTACAGAGTGAAATCTAGGACAGCAAGTACTACAGAGAAATCTTGTCTCAAAAAAAAAAAAAAGATATGCCAAGTCTTATTGTCATGGGATGGAATTACAGTTCATTTTTCTGGATTCTGTTTTCTTATCTTTTCTTTTTCTTTTCTTTTTGAGGGGACATGGTTTGTCTGTATTGTTTTGGAGCCTGTCCTGGAACTTGCTCAGTAGACCAGGCTGGTCTCAAACTCACAGAGACCCACCTGCTTCTGCCTCCCAAGTGCTGGGATTAAAAGCGTATACAACCACCATAAGGCATGGATTCTGTTTCCTTTTTTTTTTTTTTCTGTCTGGAGGTCCTGTCTAACAGTGATAGCGGAGTGTTGAAGTCATCTACTACTAGCATGTGAGATTTTTAAAAAATTATTATTTATGTTTAAATTTAAATTTAAATGAGAAACAAGGTTGCTTCACAAGTCAGTTCCAGGTCCTGCTCCGTTTCCCTCCCCTCCTATAGTGCCCTCGTCCTAACCCCCCCAATATCCCCTCATTTCCCCAGGGTGGGTGAGGCCCTCCTTGGGGGTGTCCATATTCTTTCTTTTCATCCAGGGCAGGGCCTAGACCCTCCCCCAAGAGTTCAGGGTGAGGGTGCATCTCACATTGTTGGATGGGAGTCCAAAGTCCATTTGTATATTCTGGATAAATACTGATCTACTGCCCAAGGCTCAATAGATTACATAGGCTTCCTCACTGACACCCACATTCAGGAGGCCTTGATTAGGTCCATGCTGGATTCCCAGGCTGATGCCTGGGATTCAAGAGTTAACTTTGTCAGGTCAGCTTTTTCTGGGGGTTAAACCAGCCCAGTCTTAATCCCTTTGGTCATCAGTCCTCCCTCTCTGTTACTGGTTTCCTTGAGTTCAGCTCAGTGCTTAGATGTGGGAATCTGCCTCTTGTTCCATTAGCCACCTAATGAAGGTTCTGTTTCCCAGACTCTCTGGCCATGGAATTGTAGGCTGACACTCCCCAGCTCTATGTCTAAAATCCATATATGAGACAGTACATTCCATAGTTCTCTTTTTGTGACTGTGTTACCTCACTCAGGATGGTTTCTTCTAGTGTCACCCCTTTGCCTGAAAATCTCAGGATTCCATTGTTTTTTTTCTGCAATACTACTCCATTGTGTAAATGTACCACATTTTCTCTATCCACTCTTCAATTGAGGGGCATCTAGATTGCTTCCAAATTCTGGCTGTTACAAATCATGCTGCTATGAACATAGTGGAACAGGAATCCTTGTTTTATGAATGGGCATCTTTTGGATATATGCCTAAGAGTGAAATTGCTGGGTCTTTTGGTAGGTTTATTCCCATTTTTCTGAGGAATCTCCAAACTGATTTCCAAAGTGGCTGAACCAGTTGGCACTCCCACCAGCAATAGAGGAGTGTTCCCCTTTTACAACATCCTCTCCAGCATAAATTGTCTTTGGTGTTTTTGATTTTAGCCATTCTGACAGGAGTGAGATGGTATCTCAGAGTTGTTTTGATTTGCATTTCACGGATGGCTAAGGATGTTGAGCACTTTCTCAAGTGCATCTTAGCCATTTTAGACTCCTCTATTTAAAATTCTCTATTTAGTTATGAATCCCACTTTTTAATTGGATCCTTTGGTATTTTGGAGACTTGCTACTTGAGTTCTTTGTAAATTTTGGAGATCAACCCTCTGTCAGATGTGGGGTTAGTGAATATTTTTTCCCATTCTGTGGGCTGCCTTTTTGTCTTGCTGACTGTGTCCTTTCCCTTACAGAAGCTTCTCAGTTTCAGGAGGTCACATTTATTAATTGTTGATCTCACTGTCTGTGCTACTGGTGTTATGTTCAGGAAGCTCTTTCCTGTCCCAATTCGTTCAAGGGTACCTCCTATTTTCACTTTTAAGAGGTTCAGTGTGGCTGGATTTAAGTTGAGGTCTTTGATCCATTTGGACTTAAGTTTTGTGCATGGAAATAAACATGGATCAATCTGCATTCTTCTACATGCCAGCGTCCAGTTATACCAGCACCATTTGTTGAAGATGCTTTCTTTTTTCCATTGTATATTTTTAGCTTGTTTGTCACAGATCAGATGTTCATAAGTGTGTGGGTTAATATCAGGGTTTTCAGTTAGATTCCATTGGTCTATGTGTCTATTTTTTGTCAATACAAAGCTGTTCTCAGGACTATAGCTCTATAATAGAGCTTGAAGTCAGGCATGGTGATGCCTCCTGGTGTTGCCTTGTTAAACAGGGTTGTTTTGGCTATCG